TCCCGTAAACTGGTTATCTACATCCGTAACATCTTATACACGAGTATGCTTTGTTCCGAACGATTGGCCGAACGGCTTGTCCGCTTTTCACGCAGAAAAGCGCGTTAGAATCGTCGCAACGACGCCGGTAATGTTACGCTATTGCGTAATCGATGGCCCCAACGGGGAAACCGAGGCCGCCAAAAACAAATTGTTGCCATGGGCCCCCATAGACGGACGTGGGCTATTCATTTCTACAGTCACTGCGACAGAGGCAGCCCGCGGCCTTCGACATCGCTTCGGCAACCAAAATAAAAATTTGTAAAACCAAGTCAAAGTAATAATAGTAGTCAAGCTGGCGATTAGCGCAATCTGTATTTTGTGCTTTGTTTCTTAGCTTTATTAGGGTTCTTAGGTTTCTTAGGTTTCGTAGGTTTCTTAGGTTTCTTTGGTTTCTTTGGTTTCTTTAGGTTTCTTAGGTTTCTTAGGTTTCTGAGGTTTCTTAGGTTTCTTAGAGTTCTTAGGCTTTCCTAGGTTTCTTGCGTTTCGTAGGTTTCTTAAATTTGTTAGATTTCTTAGGTTTTCTTAGGTTGCTCATATTTCTTACGTTTTTAAGGCTTCTTAAAATTCTTACGCTCATAAAATTTTTTGAATACAGAAGATTCGTAAGTTTCTTTAAATAAAAATTTTCGAAACCAATGTACGCCACGGCAATACGTGCGGATGTAGATCCCGTAAACTGGTTATATGAATACTAAACATCTCTTGCAGGTGTTCGGCCTCTCTTCATTGTCCCGGGTGATCTCAGCTCCTGTTAAACCGATTTTCATGCTTTAAATTATTCTAGAGTCCTTTCGTTGCGGTGGGTGTTGTAAGACCAATGACCTTTTGCTGTTTTAAGAATTTGACGGCCGGTGGTCACTCAAAAGCTTGTTACCATGGATGCCATAGGGCTAACATGGGCTGGCCTGTTACCACGGGCACGTTATACTGCACTTGCACAAGAAACAGTTTGGCTTCGCCTCTGTGTTTCTTTTGGTTAACCGACGAAACCGTGCTCATTTCAAGCAAGTTCATAATTTGATATTGGATCTTTTTAGATTTTGATAAGATCTGAAACGGAGTCGAAAAGCACATTGTTTTCTAGTATTTCACTTGATCACTGTCGCACCTTGCGGCCTAATGCACTGAGCTGTTTCAACAGTTCGGTCATTCTTTCATATAATTTGCGGTGGATTTGCGGTGACAAACTGCATCTATACACGAAATCGATACATACAAACAAGTGACGTCACGGTGACGTTGTGAGCCATATATACAAAGCCCAATTCTCAGCGGTCTCTACGTCACTTGTTTGTATGCATAGATTTGATGTATATATACAAGTTGTCAGAGCAAATCCACTAGCAAATATAGCAGCCCAGTTCACTAAACATCTACAGCAATACTACGACGTCATTCTACGACTTCGAGTAACAAATAATCCTAACTCACTTATTTACAATACCTAGTCGTAAGCCAATATTCATCCGTGCTCAGCTTGTTAACTACATTCGTAACAGCCAAGACCACTAGATACCTACGGTGCACTTTTTAAAAAAATTGTTGCTGTTGACACATTACTTTTTGGAGGTAATGGTTGTGACCATAAAACAGTATAAAAGAGCCGCATTTGAATGTTATGAAACAGGAAATGGTAACTGCTACCGCTAATTACGAGATGCGATATTAGCCAGTTTCGTACGCTAAAAGATGGCTACATTTTAATATTCGAAGGTGTATAATATCCGGTTTGTCAAGCAGTGGTAACAATTATTGTTTCCTATCGCACATCATTCGAAAGCGGCTTTTTTATACCGTTTTATGGTCGCAACCATTATCTCAAAAAAACAATGTGTGAACAGCAACAATTTTTTTAAAAAGTGCACTCGTGATGCGCGCAGACTCGCATTGTCTGTCTGGGCAAGCGAATGACCAGCCAGGCAGGAAAAGTAGCGGGCATGCCATTCGTTCGTAACAGGACTAAAAGGCGGACTTATGAGTACAATAGCCGCCTGTCCTGTACCCATTTAGAGTTCTTGTAACAGCCATGGCGGCGGCGCGGCCTTTGCTAAGAAAAATATGTTTGGACGAACGGGTAGGCCGATTTTAAAGCGGTAAAATGCGCCAGAATCGCCGCAACGAAGCGGGTGACGTTGCGCTATTGCCGACCCGATGCGCCTCGAGGGCGTGCACGTGCCTCAAAAAGCGAATTGTTGCCATGGGCCTGTCAGTCTCGGCTTCAGATATCGCTGCGATCTTGTTAAAGCAAAGTACTAATTGTTAAGCTGAGTTTCCACCCGTTTGCACCCCTTTTGCTAGAAAAAAAGCCATGAAGGGCTCGTAAACAATTCCATAGTGTACGTTACTCACCGGAAAAAGTTTAAAAAGTCAAACGCGTCAAATAACTCAGCTATCTACCCGAACTTTATGAAACTTTCCAATATGATAAAACCACATATGAAGGACATTCTGAACTAATATGATGATGTTATCTTAGAAAACAAAGGTGCAGCGAATTTTCAAATATTTTAAACTCGTATAACTCGGGGAATTTACTTCGGACAACCTTTATTTTGGTTCAGAATGTGTACAGGAATTTACTCCATAAGATGGAGTTGTCAAACTTAAAATCGGAGAAAACGTGGAGTTATCAGATCCGTATTTGTAACTTTGAGAAATTCAACTTTTTGTGTTGGGCCAGATGCGCCGGAGAGCAGGCTTATTCTTGGTGCGACTGCTGCGTATCCTGTTGTGTCCTGGTCTCATCAGGTAACGTACTGTTCAGCTGAGCAGGAATGGCTTTCTGGCATTGACTTGTGAGTCAAGCGCAAGCAGGGAATGGTGCTGCACATGCTAACAGGGCAATAAATCTCATTGTTCTACCTGATCATTTATGACAGAGTGTGCGTATTCTGATTCTTATACAAACACGGCTGTCGCTTGTTAGCTTCTTGTGGCTTGTGGTCAGCAAACTTGCCGCCATCCGGAACAGAGACATTCTCCTCTACTGCGCAGTATTAAAACCTTGTTAAAGAATTCTACTTTATGACAGTTTTAAAATAACTGCTTGTGCGCAATTTTTTCACAAAGACGTAAACTCACATCAGTAGATAGAAAAACGAATTCTCTATCGATTCCTGTATAGTTTAATATGGTCTAATTTGAGTAGAAATTCACCTTAAAAATGTACGGTCGCCACTAATACGGTCGCCACTAATGCGGTCGCTTTTCGAAAATGTATGCAATTCAAAAGTGCCCGAGTTCATTTTGAAGAAATAATATGATTTTATAAGCAAACATCAGCGTCACCGTGCTTAGTATCTGTTGATCAATATATGGCTTAGCCCCGTTGGGGGTATGCTAATGACCGTCCCTATGGGCGCTGCCCCTATGTAACATACATCTCTTCACAACATTCGGGGAGTTAAGAACGGAGGGTGCATGTAGTATAAGGGTTTTACTGTGTCTACATCCGTAACCAGTAACCACGTATTCACGATTGATAATGTAGCCAATGTTTGACGAACGGCTGAACCGATTTCGACGCGGCCAAGTGCGTTAGAATGGTTTCAACGGCGCGAAAACTCTTACGCTATTGCGGGATCGATACGCCCCAAAAGGGGAGAAGTAGCCCCAAAAAACAAGTTGTTGCCATGGGCCCCCATAGACATACATGGGTATATGCATTGTTGGTTCGCGGACCGTTCGGAAAAACCGAGAGAGACTGCGGCCTTCGGCATCGGCACGTTACAAAGTATTGAAAATTTAAAAATTAATCGCAGTCAATCCCACCAGCGTGATCGATATACCTCGTATTCTTTCATATATGAAATTTCTTAGATTTCTTAGGTTTCTTAGTTTTCTTACGTTTCTAAGATTTCTGAGCTTTCTTAGGTTTCTTAGGTTTTTTAGGTTTCTTAGTTCTCTTAGTTTTCTTAATTTTCCCAGGTTTCTTAGTTTTCTTAGATTTCTTAGTTTTCTTAGTTTTTTTAGTTTTCTTAGGTTTCTTTGGTTTCTTTGGTTTCTTTGGTTTCTTGGGTTTCTTAAGTTTTCTTAGGTTTCTTAGATTTTCTTCTTTCTTAAATCTTGTATTTTTCTTAACGGCTGGGAGCGATGCGATCAACCGTTGCGAAGTGTGCAGTGCATTACAAACTTGCGCCGCAAAAGTTTTTGTACGGATGTAGATACCGTAAACTGGTTACGACTCTATCTATATATTAAAAGAATAAGACTTTCAAAATTCCGTTTCCATACAGTTCGCCAGGACCCTACACTGAACCAAATTTCGATGGCTATATATCATTCGATAGCCCTGAGTTTCTATATTTGCCATCAGAAGTCTGTTTTCGAAACAAAAATTAGGTTTGAAAGAAAAGTTCAAAAAATCTTAGCATGCAGTGTCTATGGGAAAAGTGGAGAACCCACCACTACAAAACGATCACCCCACCACTGCCAATAGAATATGTCAATTTTTGATAAATCACCTAAAACGTTGCAATGGATGAAATTTTAAGGGATATGAATCACTCGAAAGCCCTGAATTTATCGATTTTACCTGTAAAGCATGGTTATAGGGGAATATCAGGATTTGACAAGAAAGTCTGATTAAAAAGTCTACGGAACAGTCGAGATTCTCATTTCCAAAACCCAGTTTTTCAGGTAGCTGTCCTACGCAGCTCGGGTGACCGGTTTTAAAGTTGCTGCGCTCCTTTGGGCGAGTACGAATGTTTTTGCTAAATGTTTTGTTTGAAGCACTAAGGCCTGCGGCTCCAGTATTAACGCTACGGTACACCACCGCACGAATTGGCCTTCATAAGAGCTTTTTGCTTCCGAAATTATTATTATTTAGTACGTTTGACACTGAGCAAAATGGCAAACGCTAACTTTGTAAATCGTCAATCGCGTAACAGCCGAATTTTCTGCGTTTTAATTTCACGGGAAAAGTAGTTCGAAGATTAGAATGTTATATGGTTGCTTACCGGGCCTTACCCAGCATGCCGCATGGAGCATGATTTGCTGTTTCGCTTCCTGTCAAAACTAATGCAATTTAACAACCAATACGGAAATGCGCACTTTATGCAGAAATTACCAACGTATAACCGTCATTCGTTAAGCAGAATAAACAGAAAATACTGATTAGCGTGGCCGACGGAGTTCATTGAATGGATGCAGTTAATATGCGCCAAATGCTACATTTACGATAAGTTTTCTGAAACTCCAAGTAATTTATCAGTTTGTAATAAAGGCGAGCCGCAAAAGGCGCCGAGCTGCAACAAGAATGAAGCCCGCGAAGTAGCAAGTTTAGCAACCGAGACGATTTGAGTAACAGTATTTGACGTTGAAGGCAGTATTGACAAAAATTAGACAGTTTAATTGCAATGAAATTTAACAAATAAATTTGGAAGTGCTTAGCTATTTTAGCCTACTTATTAGTAATTTTACTGTTGTGTTCTTAATACAAAGCATCATGGAAAAATATTATGTGTTCCTATTGATAAGCGTATCGACAAGGACAGCGGTATTTGGCTGAGCCATTTTAAGTTATAAGGAAGGCAGAGATCTGAAAAGCGAACAATGCTTGGAAATAATAAAGTAAAACAAATGCAAAACTTTTAATAAATTCAAAGCTGCTACTTTATAACTGAATAAATTCTCTTGGAAAAACTGAATTGGTGATACCGGTAAAGTTCAAACATGAAGAGAAGGAGCTGTTTTCGGGGGATAGGACTTTCTTTTTTTCACATTATCTCAGGCTTGTAACCCTATCTGTAAGTGCAAATGCAAGTGTAAGTGCACTTCTGTAAGCTGTGCAGTGACAATCTACGGGACGGGAAAATATTCACACAGGTTGTAATTTATCGTTAAAATAGCTAGACACTGTACAGTACTACGAAGTTGACTTAGTATTTCACAGTATTTCTCTGCGAAGGAAAATTTTACGTTTCGCGGATAAAAGTTAAGGAGATACAGATGCGTAGATATACGGCATATATGTGAGCACAGGTCTGTCTCTTTGAGTTTTGCTTGAATTTCCATCGCTGCTATATTCCGCGCAATTTGCGCGGGGTCTACTAGTGTATATGAATACTGTACATCTCTTGCAGGATTTCGGCCTCTCCTTTTTGTTATCTATGTTCTCAGCTTCTACTGAGCCGATTTTGCAGCTTTAAATTTTCACAGAATCCTTTCAAAACGTAGAGTAGGCCCGATCAATCCTAGCTAAACTTCTCGAGAAAAATATCCCAAAATGAAATGTGAAAGCAGTATGCGTCATTGTTGGATGACGCACTGCAAAAAACGAGAGTGCGTTGGACCAGTAACAAGCAGTGGATCAGCAAATGAAACGCTAGCACTGACTGCTAAATGAATCGTTCTGCATAAACACAAATGAATTTAATGCCGGGCCGCAGACACATATTAATTCGCATGCAGCATGCTTGATGGTAATTATTGATTAATTTATTAAATAATTGGTAACTTCACTGACTAATGTAATTCCTAATCACTCTGCGTAATTAATTAAAGTAATTAGACTTAATTACGCAGTAACGCAACCTAAATAATACTGTTGATATAATTTACTAATATTAATCCTAATAACAATCACTAATAATAATAATTACTTTAATTAATAATCGTAATTACTAAATTAGCAATCAGTCTAGTGCTAACAGAAACTAATCACTAATACACATTAATACTCAATCACATTAATTGTTATTAGCTAACAAAATTAAAACGCTTCATCATGTTACGGGTGACCACTGTGTAAAGCTCTGTTGGCTAAGCTGAACAACGGAGGTGAAAGTGTGTGTGAAATAGAAAACGCAGCTTCGAAGCTACGTTTTGTAACGTACGTTTTGTAACTATGTATGGTACGGTTGCTCAACCGCACGAGGTGGCTGTATGCAATGGCCACGCCTACAGATACGGTACGCGAAGCCACCTCGCGAGGTGGAGTTGCTGTATCGCAACGAGATGCGCTTCGAATTCGGGACGAGGCCTCAGTTAGCGATTTGGCTCACTAGTCAGTAGTGGTAGCTCGGTAACTCACTCACTTAATTAGCGATTTTGCTGGCAGGGGATAAAAGGTGGCAGTTGCCAGTGATAGGTGCCACGATCTCCTGCCGCTTTTGCTCACTGGCACGAGTCCGCTAGACAGCAATTACACGTTGCCGCATCGACTGCGGCAAAATAGCTGTTCCAAAGTTTTTAACTCACCTGCCTTACAAGCGACACCTTCGTTTGGCCGGAAAATTCGATAAGCGATGGGTGGCAGTTTGTCCCGGCTGGTCATATGCGTCTCCAACACTTCCAACAACTTTGCAGTCGTCCGTTGCATCGTCTGTGGGTCATTTGCGAAGCTGATAATAATGAACATGCAGCCATCTTGTTCGATGCGCAGATGAAACCGACGACAGTCTGATGGAAATGGCAGACCCATTCTCTTTCGAAGATCGTTGGTATAAAGGTGACTGATAATCCGGAATTTGTCGGAAGGGTCGCGAAGAAGGGCTTGGGCTTTGGCAAAAGGGACAAAGTGCTTGTTGTATAGCAAGCCGCTGCAACGCTTTATTAAGGGTGGTCCAGTGGGTGGCAGCAGATTAACAACTTGCCCATCGCCAACCATCTCAAAACGAGGTTTCTGTAAAGGTGTATTGGCATAGGAAGCATCAGTTGTGATGTAGAACATTCCTTCGAAGGTTTTACAACATGATATAAGCTCCAATATAACGGCTGGCCGAAAACGAAAAGGTCCGTTGTCTTCGTCACGCAGAGCTACAAACACTGGAGCGTTGCGGCAATCTGGATTTGTACCATGGCCATCCCTGTCCCAGTAAAGTGGGAAAGGCCAGACGGCCCTCATGTGTACCCAGCAAGCTGCTACAATTGTAGAGTCAAAGTTTATGAAGGCATGGTCCCCTTCCATGTCTTGGATGTACCCAAGCCACCACGAATCGTTATCGTTGTGTACAAGGACAGTGTTCTGGAAACTCATTTGGTTCGCATCCGTTAAGAGCTTTCGATACCGTGGGATCGCACCCTTCGAAAAATCGATCCAGGCCTAAATAGCAAAAACAGCAAGATTACTTGACAAGTTTTTTAACCAAATATTATCGGCTTCCAACTTCACATCTATATCACACACATAGCCACAGACTAGCCGGTAGAGCCCTGCAACGGACTGGTAAATCCGAACCGCTCCGAATCCACTCCGACTTTCGGATCGGATTGGACGGATTCCACTCTGGAAAATTCGGATTCGGAGTGGTTTCGGAGTTTATGTGCATCTGACCGGATCGGATTCGGATGCAATCAAGACTCCGAAAAATCCGAAATGAAACAAATAGTATTAATTAATTTTTATTGAATTTCACGCGTTTGAAAACAAAAAACTTCGTCAGCTTCGCGCTTCGCGCGAGGTGTCCATTTGCGTTATTCAACACCAAAATACCTACTTTTGTTTAGTTAACCGTTGTTGATTCTCTTTCAATTTTTTTTATCAAGTCTCGACACTTTTTAATAATAGAGTGTTTTTAGAATTGTCGTGATGTTGTAACTCGTTATGGTTCCACCAAATATTATTACGCTCTCCAACATGAGTTTTACGGCTCAGACGATTTAACTGGGCACTGGCTTTCCGTTTCTTATAGTTGTAGGACTATAACTGGAATGATACTGGTGCTTAGGATAATAACAATATTATTTATGTTTGACTAAGCCAAAATAACAGGTTTGAATACATGAAGCTACATCTTTTTGCAGTTGTGGACGTTTAGAAATATCCGTACCTCGTTTGTCCATGATCACTATGTGGGTGATTCATGGGCGAACCGTACACAATAAAAAGATCGAGTACAGATTTCTGAATGAGAAAAACTAACAGACTTCCTAAAATGCTACAACACTGTAGTGTTAAAGAAAAACTTAAATGCCAAGATAACGTTTTTTTATAAATCTCGAAAGTACCTATTTTACGCCCACGAAAATACTAACTGTGAAGTCTGAACTCTGAAGTCTTTTTACTTACTACCGTCAAAATGGCCGCAACAAATTTTTTCAATATACCCTCTGTACAGTAAAGATGTGTAATAAATATTGTTTTGGAAAATTTTTCGGAGTGGATCGGAGTGGGTTCGGATTGGCCAAAAAATTTACGGATCGGATTGGTCGGAGTACGATTTTCAAAATTCGGAGTCGGACTGGGTTCGGATAAAATTTTTAAGTTTGGATCGGACTGGACGAAGTTTTCCAGTCCGATGCAGGGCACTACAGTAGCCCGTAGCCCACAGACCACAGACGGCTAGCGATAACTTCGGCCACAGTACATTTTGGCCGACGCTAATTTTGGCGCGTCCGATCACTTCGGCCGCAAATAATCACTTCGGCCAGCACTCACTTCGGCCACTGATCATTTGGGCAGTAGTGTATTTCGGCCATCTTCAGTTTTTTTAGGTGTAAACCTCGTCAGGTTTCTTACACTACGAGGATGCGCGCAGTAGAACCGACAGTAAATTTTTTCAGTGAGACCAACCGACAACCGTGCATATAGTGCAAGCGACTGCCAACCATCCACGGACGGCTGTCACGCATACCCCGCATACAGTGCAGACGATACCTCTCTTCCACAGGTGGCTTTTATGTGAAAAATTATTCGGCCTGTGTGCGTGGTTGCTGTGTGCGTGGTTGTCGGTTGGTCTCGCTGAAAAAAATTACTGTCGGTTCGACTGCGTGCTTCCTCGTATTCTTAAATTTTCTTATTTATTTTAGGGTTTTTTAGGTTATTCATAATTTTTTGGGAGTTTCGTATGTGTTCTAGGTTTCTTGCGTTATTCTTAGGTTTCTTAGGTTTTCTTTGGTTTCCCAAGTTTCTTAGGTTTTCTTAGGTTTTTTATGTTTTCTGGGGTTCCTCTGGGTTTTCGTAGGTTTTTACGTTTTTTTAGTTTCCTTTGGGTTTCTTAGTTTTTTTCAAGTAATTTTTAGGTTTTTGTTAAAACGTGACGGCTGGCTTCGCCACCACTCACTCCGGCCACACCACATTTCGACCGAAATATGGCTTAGTGGCTTACCTAAATCTTTACTCCGCAGCGTGCGACTTCTGGTTGACCTGCTTTTGTTCTTTGTTTCCATCTCTTTTGCACGCTCTATTTGTGACTTATCTTCTGCGTGTTCCTCTTACCATCGTGTCTCCTTTACGCATTTTAGTCTGACGAAAACCTCGTCGACCGCCACAAGATCGATCACCCGAAGTCTCGGATAACTGCAAAAACCTGAGCGAAGTTTGAAACCTAGGAAAACTAAAGCAACTTCCGAAACCTGAAATTAAACAAAGGAAACATAACCATTGTAAAGCAGAAACTAAGAAAACCTAAGAAAAAATACGAAACAAAAAGAAAACCTAAGAAACCTAAAAAAATCAAAGACGGCCAAAATGAGCAGTTGCCGAAATGAGCGATGGCCGAACTGAATGCTGGCCGAAGCGAGCCGCGCCGAAATGAACGTTGGCCGAAGTGGGCCGCGAATCTGTGCGGCCGAAATGTAACGCGACCGAAGTGATCGGACGCGAATTTGGCGCACCATATTATTCTTTTATCTCTATCTATTCTCTATATAATAATCGCGAAAGCCTTAGTCTTTGTTGAGTTCGCCAGCTCGATATGCTGAACCAAACTGCCATGCTTATGTATCAACCGATAGCGTTAAAATGTAGATAAGCCATCACAAATCAATTTTTAGAGAAAAAGATACGTTTAAAAGAAAACGTTCAAAAACTGTAACATACATATTCTATGGGGAAAGGTGGGAACCCACCATTGCTAAACCAACCACCCCACGACTACCTCATCAGCTTAATTAAACACGCTTTCAATTTTTTGACAATTCCGCTGCAGATCGTTGGAACTTTACGTTCCATAACAGATTATTCCGTCGCCGTACTTGCTTTTTGTACATTCCTCATAAAATTTAGTTCTTGAAAAAGAAAATGAAACTGGACAAACATGGCCGAGAAGATTCCGGGACTGGGAACGGTTCGCAAGTCAGTTTTCAAGTGCCCGACTTCCGCGGTGGTTCTCGCGTATCCAGTTTATTAAAGCAGGACTCTCTGTTCGAACAGATCCCGCCTCCAAACCTTTCTGGTTGGCCAGGACCAGCCTTACATTCTGATTGGCCAGAACTGGTCGTACGGCTTTTAGCCCTGTACAGCCTTTTTACCTTCGTTGCTATCAGGCAGAAGCCTTTACTTAGCTTTCGAAACCTGTACGAATTTTCACCCGATTAACCAGATCTGCTGGATCCTACCTTCAGCCTAAGGCTTACTTAGGTTTCGAAACCTTAGTGTCTGTACGAACTTTTACTTGATTAGCCAGAACCACCAGATCAGCCAAAACTGCCAGATAAACCAGAACTGCTAGATCAGCCAGAAGTACTAAAACCACCAGATCAGCCAGAACTACCAGATCTGCCAGAACCACCAGATTCACCAGATCACACAGAACTACCAAATAAGCCAGATAAACCTAAACTAGCAGGTCAGCCAGACCTACCTGCTGAACTAGAACAACCAGGTCTACCAGATCAGCCAAAAATACCAAATCTGCCAGATCAGCCTAGATTAAGATCAAACAGAATTACCAGCCCCTCCAGATCAGACTACTACCAGTTCATCCAAAACCATCCAAAAGTGCCGTGCCAAATTTGCTAACATTTCAGAAATTAGTTGTTTAGAAAGCTTTGTTCACTTTGGACAGCTGAAAAAATCAGCCAGAACTGCTCTAAAAACCAGAACTGTCATATCAGCCAGAACTGTCAGAATCACCAGATCAGCCAAAACTACCAGATCTCCCAGAACCACCAGATCTACCAAATCAGGTGTACCACATCAGACTTTACCAGATCAAACTGTACTACCAGTTTGTCCTGAAGCATCCAGAAATGCCGTGTCCAAACCCGCTACTTAGCGTTCAAAAGTTTATTAAAACCAAGCTTTGGAAAGCTTTGTAAGCTAAACTAACAACTCAATAAACCTACTAAGCATTACAAACTTTAGTAAAACTATGCTTCGAAAAGTTTCGTGAAACTATGAAACTCTGAAAAACCTAATGAAACCTTCCCGCACTATAGCGCAGCCGATAGCCTTGCGTGCGGTACCATCCTCCCTTTTAAGCCTTTGGTAACCGAAGACTATGCGTTCGCTACCCACCCTTTTAAGCTTATGGTAACCGAAGGCCTTTGAAGCTTTTTGTCGCAGAAAGCTTTTAAGCCTTTTGTCACCGAAGGTCTTTCAAGCTTCGGTCGCCAAAGGCGTTTGGTCAACAAATGTTTTTTAAGCCTTTGGTCACCGAAGGCAATGCGTGCGGTACCCACTTTTCTAAACCTTTGGTCACTGAAGGCTTTCTATCACCAAAGGCCTTCTAAGCTTTAAGTAACCGAAAACCTTTTAAGCTTCCGGTCACTGATGACTTTTGGGCCTTCGGTCGCCTAAGGCCACGCATGCGGTATCCACCCTTTTGAGCCATCGGTAACCGAAAGTCGTTTAACCTTTTAACACCGAAGGCCTTTCAAGCTTTTGTCCACCGAAGGCCATTTGTCACCGACGACCTTCTTAGCTTTTATGAATCGAAGGCTTTTTAAGCCTTTTTAAGCCTTTGGTTAGGCCACGCGCGTGGTACCCACCTTTTTGAGCCTTTGGTCACCGATGGCCACGCGCGTTCTAAGCCACGCGGCCTTCTAAGCTTTTAGTAACCGAAAGGCTCAGGTCACTGGTGGCCGAGAAGTCGCCTAAAGCCACGCATGCGGTATCCACCATTTTGAGCCTTCGGTAACCGAAAGTCGTTTAACCTTTTAACACAGAAGGCCTTTCAAGCGTTTGTCCACCGAAGGCCATTTGTCACCGACGGCCTTCTAAGCTCTTATGAACTGAAGGCTTTTTAAGCCTTTGGTCACCGAAGGCCTTTTGAAAATTTGGTCACCAAAGGTTTTTAAAGCCTTTTGTCACCAAAAGCCTTTAAGGCCTTCGGTCAGCGAAGGCCTTTTAGGCCTTTGTCCACCGAGTATCTTTTAAGCCTTTGGTTAAGAAAGGCATTTCAAGCCTTTCGCAACCAAAGACCACGTGTGCGGTACCCGCGTTAATAAGCCTTTGGTCACCGAAGGCCTCTTAAGCTTATGGTAACAGACAACCTTTTAAGATGATGGTCGTCGACGTTTTTTAAGCATTTCGTCACGAAGACGCGCGGGGTACCAGCCTTTTTGAGCCTTTAGTCACAGAAGGCCCCGCGTGCGGTACCCGTCCTTTTGAGCCTTTGGACACCGAAGGCCACGCGCGTGGTACCCGCTTTTTTGAGCCTTTTGGTCACGAAAGGCTACGCGTGTGGTACCCGCCTTTTTGAGCCTTTGGTCACCAAAGGCCACGCGTGTGGTACGTTGGCCACCGAAGGCCTTTTATGCCTAGGGTCACCGAACGCCTTTTAAGCCTTTGGTCACCGATGGTTTTTCTAAGCCTTTGCCCACTGAAGGCCTTTTAGGCCTTTGGTCACCAAAGGCCACGCGTGCGGTACCCACCTTTTTGAGCCTTTGGTCACCGAAGGCCACGCGCGTGGTACCCGCCTTTTTGAGCCTTTGGTCACCGATGGCCACGCGCGTGGACCCGCCTTTTTGAGCCTTTGGTCACCGAAAGCCACGCGTGTGGTACGTTGGCAACCAAACGCCTTTTTAGCCTTTGGTCACCGACGGTTTTTTAAGCTTTTGCCTACTGAAGGCGTGTTAGGCTTTTGGTCACCGAAGGCCTTTTAAGCCTTTGGTCACTGAAGGTTTTTTAACCCTTTGGTCACTGATGGCCTTCAGACCCACACTTTTAAGTCGTTTGTAACCGTGGGCCGCGTCAGCGCGGCGCGTAAGCGCCGCGCGTCCTGCTTGTCATTTAATTAAAGCAGAGCTGTCTGTGCGTCACACTCCCGCCTCCAAAGCTTCCTCATTGGCCAGCACCAGCATTAAGGCTTTCATGCCTGTACAGCCTTTTAGACTTTTCGACTTCGTTAAATGAACCAGATACTCCCTTTGGCTTGGTCCTTACGAAGCTTTTGAAGCCTATGCAAGCTTTTACCTGAATAGCCAAATCCTACCTTCAGCATTAGCGTTTATCAAGCTTTCGAAACCTTGGTACTAGATTGGCTAAAACCAGCATTACGACTTTTTAGCGTGCAAACCTTAAAGAAGCTGTAGTTTTCACGCAGAAGCTGTAGCCTTTGATGACCGAAGGCTTTCCAAGACTTCGGTCACCGAAGACATTTTAGGCCTTTAGCCTCCGAAGATGTTTTAAGCCTTTGGTCACCGAAGGCTTATTAAGCCTTTGGTCACGAAGGCCACGCGTGCGGTACCCGCCTTATTAAGCCTTTGGTCACCGAAGGCCGCTTTTCGTTACCGAATGCCTTTTAGGCCTTTGGGTTACCGATGGCCTTTTAGGCCCTTGGTCACCGAAGGCCACGCGTGCGGTACCCACACTTTTAAGCTGCTTGAAACCGTGGGCCGCGTCAGCGGCGCGTAAGCGCCGCGCGTCCTGCTTGTCATTTAATTAAAGCAGAGCTGTCTGTGCGTCACACTCCCGCCTCCAAATCTTTCTGATTGGCCAGAACCCGCCTTACGGCTTTTGAGCTTTCCAGCTTTTGATACGTACCTATTTCTTTAAGAGTTTGTCCTTTCTAAGCTTTTGAAACCTTTGCACCGTAGCAAACTTTCATAATTAGCAAAATTTACCAATCTGCCAAAACAGCCAGATCAGCCTTAACTACCAAATCATTCAGAAGGACCAGAACTACCAGATCAGCCAGAACTACCAGATCAGCCAGAACTGCCCAATCAGTCTAAACTACCAGATCAGCCTGAACTACCAAATCATCCAGAACCATCCAAAGCTTAAGCACCTGTACGAGATTGCATGGATAGCCAGATCAGCCAGATCCTCCCTTTAGCATTAGTACTAAGATTTCAAATTCTTAGCACCCGTACGATGATCAGTCCAAATATTCAGATCATCCAGATTACACCTTTAGTTTTAGTACTTACTAAGCTAACGAAACCTTAAGAACCCGCTTTGACGCCTTCCAGCTTATTATAACTGGAGGCCACGCGGTCAATCCTACTTAGTGATTGACTTACGTCTTTTGAAACCAAAAGGTGCGTGTGCGGGATCCACCATTTAAAGCCTTTGGTAACCGAAGGCCACGCGTGTGGTACCCGTCTTATTAGGCCTTTGGTCACAGAAGGCCTTTTAAGCCTTGGTCACCGAAGGCCACGTGTGCGGTACCCGCCTTAATAAGCCTTTGGTCACCGAAGGTTTTTAAGCCTTTGATCACCGAAGGTCTTTTAAGTTTTAAGTCACCGAAGGCCACGGGTGCGGTACCCGCCTTATTAAGCCTTTGGTCACCAAAGGGCTTTTGGTCTCCGAAGGCCACCTGTGCCGTACCCACACTTTTAAGCCGTTTGAAACCGTGGGCCGCGTCAGCGCGGCGCGTAAGCGCCGCGCGTCCTGCTTGTTTATACTGTAAAGTGTAAAGTGTCTTCAAGGGCGGTTGCTTTTCTTGCTGAACTGCCAGCGAATATTTGAAAAATCCGATTTCTCGAAATTTGCTGCTTTATAGTTTTCAGGAGAAAAAGCTGTTCAAGAAAGGCAAATGGGCAACTTGGCATGTATGGGGTTTGCTTTGCACTGAAGAACAGCAAGCTCTTTGCTCCGCTTGGTACGTGGTGTTCGAAACCATGTCCATGTGATACGCGTTAACATGATGTTATTAATGCAAATCCACTACAGTGGAGCTTCGAGCTAACAATAAGGGGAAATGCTTCATTATTAAGTAACAAGGGACTTTCGGAAAACGGGAAATCATTTTTTTAAAAATTTGTTATATAGCGCTTTAGAAAGCGGAGCCGCATGCCGCCCAGCTGTGGCGCAAGCGAAGCTCGCGGAGCAGCAAGCATGCGAGAAATTTTACGTATTCCAGATTTAAAGCAGAGCGAAAAAGCGGAGAAAGAAACATAACGAAACGCTTATGTCTGTCTTTGTTTAATAATAGTGGTTTAACTGTGTTCTGTGGTTAGTTAAGCAGCAATAGTAAGGGCTACGTGTCACTTCGGCCGTTTTCATTTCGGCCAAAGTTTTTCGGCCGTCATTCACTTCGGCCGTCATTCAGTTCGGCCGACGATCACTTCGGCCACAGTACATTTCGGCCAATGCTTATTTTAGTTTGATTCACAAGAAAACGTCACTTGCGATATAAATTTTAGGGTTACTTAAAACCATTGAAGCAAAAAAGTGATAGCAAAAGGCCGCGTTCAGATCATTTTGCACGCCAGTTCTTGAAGTTTTACGTCACGTCACTATCATGTGTCCCTTTTGATGACACAAAGCCACGAAGCATAACCGGGAAACTACTGAAAACTTAACCGTAAGCCACCTAGGAAAAAAAACGAATTCCTCATATCGTAAATCACTAAGAATAACCTAAGAATACCCATGAAAACAAAAGAAAATCGAAGAAAACCTAAGAAAACGTAAGAAAACATAATAATTCTAAAAAAAACTAAGAAAACCTAATAATTCTAAGAAACCAAAGATACTTAAGAAATCAAAGAAACCGAAAAACCTAAGAAACCAAAGAATCCAAAAATTTAAGAAACATAAAAGCCTAAGAAACCTAAAAAACCAAAGAAACATAAAAGCCTAAGAAACCTAGTAAACCTAAGAAACCAAAGAACCATAATAAACCTAAAAATCCCAGAAAACCTAGAAAACGTAGGAAACCTAAGACACCTATGATGGCCGAAACGTCCCGTTGCCGAAATGAACGCTGGCCGAAGTGAGCCTGTGCGGCCGAAATGTAACACGGCCGAAGTGATCGGACGCGTATAGTAAGAAAGGTGACTATTACTCCATCAGTGTACAGTCTGTAGACTGATGGAGTACAGTCTGTCTAACTGACGGTTAAATTCGGATATAAAGGGCAGCAGTGGTGTTGGTGGTCAAACTGGGATTCAAAGTTATTAAACTGTTGTCGGGTAGTTTACAGCTTCAAAAATCGCAGACTGACAAAAAACAGGAAGGGAGAACAGGATCTAGAAATAATTTATAAAGTCTCTAAGCACCAACTGCGCGAATGGTTGGAGACATCTGGAAATAAAGAACTGGGTCGGAAGCTACTGAAATAATCTATCCGGCTCTGGGGAAAAATTTCACACTTTAGGTCTTATGTCATCTCTGCAGTCAATTAAAGGGAAATGCAAATTTTCCAGAAAATTGTGCCGTCCAATTGTGGACTTTGGTATATTTTCCAGAAAATTGTGCCGTCCATTTGTGGACTTTGGAATTCTACGCTTCGTTCATAAAACCTACCCGTAGCCGTAGGTCCTATAGCTATACCAAGGTGGATAAGGGATAAACCCTGGTGATGTTAGTCAACGTGGCAAAATTCAGTACTTTTTTTGCCGTCACACCTCGTTAACGTTTCTCGAAAGACAAAAGAAATACAATGGCCAAAACGGCCATCAAGTTGTAAACGTACGGGAGTGATTTTCGGACGATTCATAACTGCTACAAACTTTTCACAGACAGAGAGCCATAGTAAAATTTGACGCTGATTCTGAATCTGCAATTTGCTTTTTGAAATTCCAGAAAACATCTGAGTCGAGTAAAGTAGTAGAAATGTGGTTTGAATCGGGCAAGTATACATAGAGGCCAGGCATGCAGCGCGCTAGCGACAGTCTGTCTGCGCCCTACAACCGCACTCACTACGACGGCTGCTACGACTTATATAAGGCTAACTCATATTCATAATTCGATTTATGCAAAAATCATAATTTTGTGTCAAGCCGATAACGAGCATGGAGAGCATAAAAAACTAGCAAGAGAATGTGTAATCCGTTTTGAAAAATTCGAAGCGGTTAAGGCTGTAGGCTTTGCCGTACGTTTGGGCTCTTAATTACAACTTGATGCCTTTGACGCAAACTTGCCGAAAAGTACTGAATTTTCATGCAGCAAGTTTTGGCGACTCACATCACCATTAACTATCCACCTTGGCTATACTTACCTGGAGTTATAAGTTTAAGTTTTTGCACTTTTTTTTATCCATCGCATTACTTAATCCGCGCAATTTGCGCGGGGTCTGCTAGTAAAGGTTATAAAGGATTACAAAGGATTGCTTTTACGTCGAATTTAGGAAAAAACGATTTTAGAAACGGTTAAAAATGAAGATTATTGGCTCATACGAAACGCTTTAAATTGTTTCAATTTTTTATTTAAGTAATGATTGTGTACTTCACAATGTGTTCTGTTAGCAATTTTCTTATTTAATAGCGCTATCAAAGCGAGTTTTTTTGAATGTTGAAAATGATCGCGTGATGTAAGAACCGTGTTTATAATAATCTTATATACAGATTCTGTATAATTTTTGGGTGAACTAATTTGAAAATATCACTGTTTCATAGTTCAGATTAACAGGAGATACAGTTAAATCAACCTATGTAATTCATAGATACCGTTTCGTAATATGGATTATGAATCCTCTATCCGGCATTTTCAAAAACGTGCTAGGCTGAAAATTCAAATTATTTGTAATTGTATGTAAATCAATTTAAGCTGTATAAGCCTGTATTTTTTTTCATTGGTTTTTTTTTTAAACATCACATTCGCAAACACTACAAAACGTAAACAGCATTAAGACCATCCGAACGTGGGACGGTCGACGTAACAGACAAAGCATTTCCCCTCTGTATTTCAATGCTAAGACGCTGGAGTAAAAACTCAAAAGAGCGTCTTTCTCCGTAGATCCTTAAGCCGCGCGTCCAGCTCGCGCAGAAACTTCATACATGCTGGGCCAGTTACTGTACACCGAAGATCTCAAAAGATAACGGAGCAAACTCGTATTCGTGTGCCATATATTCGTATTTCCGGCGTTTTTCATCAAGCCTGTATTACATATACTGGAACAGCCTGCACTGCGCACGCCCTGTGCACGGTGCACCATTGTCATGCAACATGAGTAGTATTAAGTACTATAACTTTATAAGTACTTCGACTTTACTCGCGTTCCGACCGCTTATAGATTACACCTTCACGTTCTGGCCACCCATGATTTCAGTTTGCCCGCATGGGGCCATATAAAAATTAGTTTATAACATTATACAGGTAATTTTTAACCAGTAAAAACGTTTATTTCCGAACCGAATGCAACAAGGAACAACAAATAAATTTAACAGAAAACAAAGTTACAAAAATCTAGAGATCAACGAATCCATCAAAATTGCTACATAAAAACGAGGAATTATCACCAATTAAAATCACCAATTTAGTTAATAATAACCGATTTCTTACTTGGTTTCAATTTACTAGAATTAATCACCGTAAATTAATCACCGTAAAATAAAAATTTAACCCAGCATGTGAAAGACACTCGTCATTTAATTTTCGAACTGTTCGATTTCTTCTGGCGGCGTTTTTTTGTTATCCGATTTCTCTGTCAGTGCGTCCAGAAAAGCACTTTCGGTCCTGTATACCGGTCGAAAATTAACTGTATAATGTTATAAACTAATTTTTATATGGCCCCATGCGGGCAAACGCGAGTAAAGTCGAAGTACTATTAAGTAGGGAAGTGCACCGCTGCTCGGGTGAGAATACCAATTCCGGGATTCCCATTTCCCAATCCCAGATTTTATTCCTACCACCGCTGCTCGCTAGCACTAAAAGACCGAAGCGAATTTATGTTTCGTACGTGTACTAATTGTATTTCATTATCAGGCCATACCGTGCTTAATGGTAAGTTTAAATCAGAAGTTCAAGCAGTGATACGAGGAAAATATAAAGGATTAATAAACCGAGTGCCACTAATCAAATATTAATGAGTGCGGAGCGGGGCATCTGTGTGCTTGCGTGAAACATTGGCCAAGATGCATCGTAGCGGCCTTCGAGCAGCTGGAAACTACGCGGGGATATCCACGGAATCGTTCAAACATGGGGTCTTATCGCTCTTTACCAGAATGCTAATTTCTAATAAGCTGTTTATGTTCTCTAACTGTCCTGAGGGTCCGTGTATTACTGTTCGGCCAGGTTTAAAATCACATGGTAGTATGTCACCCTATCCGGAAATGAGTTACCTTCTCCATGAATAAAAACAATAATAATAATCATCCGCTTAAAATCCGAACATTGTACAACGCTTCAGAGCAATGTGATCCTATTATTATTATTCCAACAGAACCGTTATAGTCCTCCCAAGGAAAGTGCTATAAATGATAGGCAGCAGCATAACGCGTAATTCCACCCGAATAAAAATCATACCACAGGATATACTACTCCATATCATATCATCAACATCCTGTACATGAAACAAACAGGAAAAATTTATCAACTGGATCAAATAATTATTCAAAATTTTACAGTAATATTTATTCCATACAATAGTCTATAACGAGTATGGCATGATGCACGAGCTAAATCTGCTGTCACGCAGGCAGGCAGCTGAATACTTTAGTTCACTTCAGACGTAGTCTAGCCGTAGTCAAGCTGAACACTCCCTGTCCTCGATCGCTCCGTGTTCAGCTAGACTACGGTCTAGCCGTAGTCTAGCTGAACCTGCCTGCTGTGTATTAATCTACCTCTCTGTCTATTCAGCTAGACCATAGTCTAGCTGAACAGGCAGAGAGGTAGAGTATGTCATACAGAGCAGGCAGGTTCAGCTAAACTATGTTTCAAGTTTCAACACGTTTCAAGCTCTGACGTTTCAAGATCCCTCTAATGACTGCGCGTTACTAGTACTACCAGTACTACTACATACCGTGTTGCATCGCTTCTTAATCGTTCACCGAAAACGGCAGTTTCGACTAAATCGTGTTCAGATTCGAGTGACTATGAGGACACCGTTCCCCGACTCTCCGTCCCAGTTCTACGGATGACTAAGAGGGGACATGATCGTGTTGAAACCGAATAGTAGAAATTCGTGATTTCGACGACTTCGCTGTAGGAGAGGATGGCTCCTCCCAGATACAGTCTCCGTTTTCTGTCGCCCAATCATACATACGTTTGCCAAAGTGACCACTGCTCACCTGGACGCCCAGATAATTAATACATCACGTATCTGTACATCCTACATAAATGCTATATAATACATAATAATACGTTTCGACTGCATATTGTATATAGTGACTAATTATTGCATAAATGTACATCTGACACAACCCCTGTTTGTTTTACACATATTTTGATTAGTACTAAGATAATTATATCTGTACCGCCTGTACGTATATAGATTTTTTCATGTCTGTAAGTTCCAAGTACGTTATGCATAATTTGCCACGTGTCAGCCGTTTCGCATATTATCATAATATTTTACTTAAGTTTTAGATTTGCTTATTAAATTGTAAAATGCTACGTAAAACATTAACAACATGAAAAAATTAATACCGAATAACTCGGAATTTAGAGCAGCTGTGTGAAACATTGCAAGGCATTTGGGGATAACAATACATATGGAAAGCAACTAATGAGGTATTTTGTGCCAAAAATTACCGTGAATGGGTAGATTGCCAAATTGAAAATTTAAGAAAAATTTAGTTTCTCAGGTTTGAAAAATTAATAAGTACATAGTTACTACTTGAAATGTTGTTTGACTTGTTACAAAGCCTTTTTTTACTGAGCTTCTACTGTATTCCCGAATACTACTCGGCTTGCCATAAGCCTACTACGGCCTAACTTTATTAGTACGTCCCGTACGAACGGACGAAGAACGAAAACTAAAATTAGGTTTAGAAACAGAAAAAGCAGCTTCCGACAAATGTGTCTACTGTCTAGTCATGGTTTGCGCATGGTGAGCTGGTCAGAACAGGTAGCCACACATGGTGAACCGCTCTGGCAACATTCATTCGCTTTAATACGAGTATGGGTCGATCAGTGCCCGTCCAGATCAATGAACGACACAAAAAAGCGACTAGTGTTTGCACTATTTTTCGTCAGGCCTGCAGACCGTTGCAGGACCTTAGATACACTATGATAAAAACAGAAAGTGAGACTTTCTGTAGAATAGTGTATACGGCTTGTTTCTGCACGGTCTATGGGAATTCTGCAACCAGAATGTTACACGCCTGTGATTGGCACAATCTAGGGGTGTGGTTTACGGTGAGCCTCTTAATACGCGCAAATGGCAATACGGGCATACTGCTTAGCTGTCTAGCTAGAATACTGGAATACTGTCTGGCTAGAATACGGGTTGGGTTAACAGCCTAATAACTGACAAAATTCCAAACTTACGTACTTATCAAGCGTACCACGTGGCAAACTGCCTCCACGTGGTTCGTGCATTACAGCACATTGGCGTGTAGATTCTTCATCACAATTTACACTTCTACACCACGGCAGTACACTCCCGCAACTTTAAAACTTATTTCTGAACAGTTGCGTTCTTCTATGTTAATTTTAGTTTTATCAAAATTTGGTTATTTTACTAACTGTACAGAATTTGAGCACTTATAACGGCATTTATTTCGAACACATACAAGCGTCACAGTGAAAACTGTTGCCAGTAACGGCTGCAGTTCTTGTGAATTCCCAATCCCAGGGATCCAGGGCTGAAGTCGTTCAACCTGCTTCTGCTTCTTCTGCGGTAACTGAGTCGGCAGCGATGGATCTGCTTCAGCCACCAAAGGTAAGCTTCAAATTTATTAGATCTGTACCATTATACAGATAGATTCCAGAACTGATATATCGATGACTTATGCAAAAAAAGGCGTTGTGGATACGGCGCAGTCTGCAGTGTTGCGGGGTGTAAAGCGCCACAAGGAAATCCTACTTACGTTGGTGTTAAATTTCATCGCTTTCCTGGCTTAAAAGCAGAATCCTCGGCAGCCAAAAAAGAAAGGCAAGCCAAATGTATTAATTCTTGCAGACAGCTGAAAACGTGGACGCCAACACCTAATAATCGGATGTGTAGTCTCCACCTTACCAGCAGCAGCGATGATTACGACAGTGAAAGACTGCAGTACCTTCGTTATTTTATTGTATGCTTAAGACTGCAAGACCAGTTGCAACTTGATATTCTATGTATTACGTGTCTTTGTATTCTTGTCTACTACTGCTGCTGCTGCTATGCTACTGCTACTGCTGCTTGTCTACTACTGCTACTGCTACAAACAAACTTCTGCTACTGCTAGTTTCAAAACATGCTTCATCGTTCGGCAGATAAACAGGCCACAATAACAAACGAGAACTACAACGTTAAAAAAGTTGAAAAATTAAAAAAAGCACAAGCAAACAAAAAACACAACGATGAAAGAACATGCGTACGTGCTCGAACACCAATCAGTTAATTCGCCGGCAGTCTGACCACGAGATCTCTGCGCGTAGAGGTTCTTCGTCTGAATTGGCCGTGCCAGTCTATATTCAGAAAAGTTGTGAGTCTTCCCAGGAAAGGCTCCACAGGGATCAGACTAGTTCACACCTCAGTGTCATCGCCGCAGTACCATTGTCGAACAGCTTGTTTGTCTCGTTTGCGCGGCTCACCAGTCAGGTATTCTCTTGAACTTGTTCGGGCGTTCTGTGCAAACTGCCGACGCAACAACACATACATGCGGCCCGATAAAGAGGGCTTGTATTGATAACAAGGATACCATTAGGATGACGTCACAATGACCTGTTTTGCGCTCATTCGACTCAGAATTTTTGTCTAAGTCGAATGAAGTGAGACCAGAAGCAGAAAACCTTCACGGGAGCGAGTTATGAATTTTTATGTAAATTAGCAGGGAAATATTCAAAACTGAGATGACGTCCTAACGATTTCGTATTTCAGCTTTCCCAATCAGGTTTTTTTTTCGCGTTAGTCTTTGAACCTTTAAATAACTAGGTATTCGAGAAAAGGTTCATCTTACATTTCATGCAAGGGACTCATTACAATACCGCTCTTATGTTTGTAAGAAATAAAAAAAAAGAAACTGAGAAACCACCGCTAAGAGAGACTTATAACTAGAATACTAAGGAGAAACTTAAGACACAAAAAACCACCGTTAATATGGATCAGTACCTTAAGTGAACTGAGAATAACTGAATTTTAGGCTAAGAACCTCAATATAAATATGACAAACTAAATCCACCCAAATTTTTCTTAGCCTGTTGTGTTTCTTAGGTGTTCTTAGATCTCTTAGGTTACTTAGGTTTCCTAGGTTTTCTTAGGTTTCTTAGGTTACTTTGGGTTTCTTAGGTTTACTTAGGTTTCTTAGGTTATGACTGCGTTTCGATGGTATCAGAAACTTCCGAATAACTTAACAATAACCTAAGAAAATTAAGTAAACATTTAGCAAACCAAAATGAAACCTAAAAATTACCTGAGAATAATTTAAAAATAACCCAAACTGATGAAACCATAAGAAAACGTAGCAATAATTAAAAAATAACCTAAAACCCTACGAATATCTTAAAAAATCTAAAGAAACTAAATAAACCTTAAGAAACCGTAAGAAAGCCATGCAACCGAAGACAACCTAAGAAAACGTAAATAGACTAAGAAACCTTAAGCAATATAACAAAAACCAGGAAAACCTGGGAAGTTGAAGATGGCTAAATGTTCTGTTGCTGAAATTAGTGGTGGTCGAAATGAGTGCTGAGTGAGTGAGTGAGCCTCGGCCTCATTGAATGTTAGCGAAGGGACCCGACGCGTATTACATCACCTGCCTCGTTTGGGGAAAGTAGTTGCAGTGTTATGGGTTGCAATCAGATCGTCTGTCTCGTTTAAAGAAAGGAGGATCATTGTTGTGGGATGTTACCTCTTTGGTCTCTCTTAAATAAAAAATAACATTGTTGTGGGGTGTTACTTCTTTCTTTGGTCCCGCTTAAAGAAAAAAATAACGTTGTTGTGGAATGTTAATTATTTGGTCCCGCTCAAAGAAAGGAATAACATTGTTGTGGATTTTACCTCTATGGTCTCGTTTAAAGAAAGGAGTAACAGTGTTGTGGTGTGCTACATCTCTGGTCCCGTTTAAAGAAAGGGGTTACATTGCTGTGGGGTGCTACTTCTTTGGTCCCGTTTAAAGAAAGGAATATCATTGTTGTGGGGTGACATCTCTGGTCCCGTTTAAAGAAAAGAATTAAATTGTGGTGAGATGTTACTTCTATGGTCTCGTTTAAAGAAAGGAGTGACAGTGTTGTGGGGTGTTACATCTCTGGTCCCGCTTAAAGAAAGGAATAACATTGTTGTGGGATGTTACTTCTCTGGCCCCGTTCAAAGAAAGGAATAACATTTTTGTGAGGTGTTACTTCTTTGGTCTCGTTTACAGAAAGGAATAACATTGTTGCGGGATGTTGCTTCTATGGTCTCGTTTATTGTTGTGGAGTTATTAGTTCTGTTACTTCTGTATCGTTTAAAGAAAGGAGTAACCTGTACGTGGACAAAACTAGATGGCTAAATAATAACATTTATACTTGATAACATTGTGTATCTATTTTACGTATTTCAGTCAAGTGA